GTACTTAAAAGTATTGAAAGTGTATATGAACTATAAGTGTTTTGAAAAACCCTAGAATCCCTATGATTCCTATTAATAACAAAAGGAGTCTTCTACCAAGACCTAACTGTTCTGAATGTAGTCTTCTACCAAGACCTAACTGTTCTGAATGTGTGTGTCTCTTGTAAGAGGATGTATTTTCCAAAGTATAACTATCATTATTCAAAAATATAGTTTGTACAATAATGTCTAAGTGAGGTTATCACTAAAAATATGTAATGGAAAATCAATGTAGTACTATGGTGTAGTGTCCAACTACAACCGTACCTATTACCTTAAATCTAGGGTAATACTTCCAAGTACTGTAGTATTTATAAAAAAATAACTACATCGGTACTCAACTGCCTTATTTGAGGGATAAGGTATAATGTGATGTCTAGATCCCAGACTATATGCTCCCCTATCAAAGGGATTTTGGGACCTACCCACAACCCCTGCATGAACGCAAGCCGTGAGCATCCACATTACCGAATGATCATGTATACTCGATATAACTATCACAATTATGGTGTGATTCATCAGTATAGTTAGATCCTGAACTGGTTCCATGCTATAGCACCTAATGACGTCTATTCTATGTATATGTAAGTGTGATCATGTAATTGTACTCAAGTAAGAGCGATCATGTAATAGTACAGTAATGTACTGTAATGTTCTACGTGTGCTAGCTGTAATGTGTGTTCTCTCTATCTAGCAAGTATTGTAATGTAATCGTTCTAGTATAGTTGTATATGTTCTCGTCCTAGTATAGTTGTATATATTCTCGTCCTAGTATAGTTGTATATGTTCTCATCCTAGTATAGTTGTATATGTACTGTATTGAAATGTTCTAGAAAGTATTGACTCATGAATGAACTGACTCATTGTATGATATCGCGTTCTAGTAATGGTTCTAGTATCTTCCTGAACTACCCATATGGTAGCTTTCTAGTATTCTAAGTGGTACGTATGGACATGGATGTATACCCTTGCTACACAAGGGCATAGGATGAACTGGAAGGAACTTTTATGACTATATATGTGTACATGATATATAACTAATATTTAAACGAGCTTCAGACGAATAC